TATATATATATTAATATATATATTAACTCCCCTTGGCTTTTTCGTGTGTTTACTTTTTTATATTTTGACACCCCTTAGTGAAAATTCTGGCTCCGCCACTGATTTTAACTATAAGTTTTTTGTTTGAGCATTGGGAGTAAAGAATTTTTTTGCAAGAAGCGATTTGCCTCATTAGAGCGCCTACTCAACATGAATACAAGGTATTCGGACTAGTATACTTAGAATACGGAAGGGTTCAATAAAAAAGAAATACTAAAGAACAAGTCAACTTTCACTAAAGAATTTTCTCTTTTAATTCTTCTAATTCTAATCTTCTTTGCCCTTATTTGCCGGCCTACCCATCTCCCAAAAAATATAGAAATATACAATTTGTAGTAAACTATTTAAAAGAAAAGAAAGAGTCATTACCAATAAAGAAAAACAAAAAACAAAAGAGTGTAACTATGTGACTTTGACCCTTATTAGACTGGGTAGCGACTAAGATGTTTAAAAAGGGAAAATTTGCTTTAAGTTCCTTCTTAAGTATCTAAGTGCATGGATCCCATAAACGTGCCCTCAATGATGGTATCTGTCATGCTACTACGTGCTTTCATGTTCAGCCATTTTCTAAATTGAGACCAAAACAAAATATTATGTCCAGTTTTGAAGAAATTAAAAGCATACTAGAAGAGAAAGGATCAAGAAAATCCTTGTTAGCTACCAAGAAAATGACCACTTCTATTTCCAAAAAGAAAGCTAGGCTTTCCAAAAAAGAAGCTAATGAACTTGGCACCTTCTTTTATTCTATCCTAGCTAAACTTCTATGTCTTATCCCTATTGCAATCCTCTTCGTTCTTTTAATCTTCTTTTGGTCTTCTTCTACCACCATTATTTCTGGTAAAATTATCCATCTTTGCTTCCAATCCCGAAAACTCAATGATCTCTATTGCATTTCTGCTGGAACACAACCAAATCTTGAAACCCCAATTAGCTCCATTTCCAATGATAGTTTCCCATCTGTTAATGGTACTGCAACGAAATTGGTTAATGATTTGCAACAAAAATCTACACGTCTTGGCATACCGATACCACCAGGGTACCATGCTTTCAGAAATGGCCTGGTTAAAAGCGACGAGGAATTGTTAGTGGCTTATAATGATGTGGAGGATCAACTAATGGTGCATCGATCGTGGATATCAAGCCAAAACAATGCAAAATGTGATGGTAGGGGAATATATGTGTATGAATTGCCAACAAAGTTCAACAAAGATTTGGTATCTCAGTGTGCTGACATGGTTCCTTGGGTCGACCTCTGCAATTTCTTTAGCAATGATGCAATGGGTGAGCCAGTAGAAAAGCTAGGAAAAGGATGGTACCAAACTCATCAGTATTCATTGGAGTTGATATTTCACTCGAGGATTCTGAATCATCCTTGTAGAGTAATGAACAAAAGCGAAGCAGAGCTATTTTATGTGCCTTTCTATGCTGGACTTGATGTCTTGAGATGGCATTTCAAGAATGTTTCAAATGATGTCAAGGACTCTCTCGGACTAGACCTTGCAAAATGGCTCGAGTCGCAACCAACTTGGTTCAAGAGATCAGGTAAACTAGAGGCGAATCCAAAATTTAAATTTAATGGTTTCAACCTTAAATACTTAGCACTGAACTTATTTTATTAGTGAAATTATGAGTTCAAAACTTAATATTTGTTGAAATACAGTGGTTCTTTTTACATGAATATCTATGTTCCGTTTATAAAATACTGGGTTCAGTTGAACCTATAACACGTGAGCTACACTTGCCTCTGCAGGTAAAGACCATGTCTTTGTTCTTGGAAAAATATCTTGGGACTTCAGAAGATATAACAATTCCGATTGGGGAAGTAGGTTTTTGGAGCTAAACGAAATGCAGAATCCAGTAAAGCTGTTGATAGAACGACAACCATGGTATCTTAACGACATAGGAATACCTCATCCGACTTATTTCCATCCACAATCAGATGATGACATAATAACATGGCAGCTCAAAATCATTAAGGCAAATCGAAAAAGCCTTGTGAGCTTTGCTGGTGCACCACGACCTGATGCACCAGAAAGCATTAGGTCGATCTTGATCAACCAATGCATTTCAATAGAAACTGGTGAATGCAGATTCTTGAATTGTAGTTCGGGTGCATGTGATCAACCCGAGTCTATCATTGAGCTGTTCATGGAATCTGAATTCTGTTTACAGCCTCCAGGTGATAGCCCGACAAGAAAATCAGTATTTGATTCTCTGATATCAGGTTGCATTCCGGTAATATTTGATCCATTTACAGCATACTATCAATATCCTTGGCATTTACCAGAAGATTATAAAAAGTATTCAGTTTTCATAGATCAAGAAGATGTGAGAAATATGAAAGTCAATGTTGTGGAGAGGCTTATGAAAATTCCTGCAGGGGAAAGAGAGAAAATGAGAAGATACATAATTTATGAATTATTACCTGGATTGGTGTACGGAGATCCAAAATCTAAGCTGGAGAAATTCCAAGATGCATTTTCTTTAACAATGAATAATCTGCTTGAAAGGTTGACCAGATTGGAATAATGACAAAACTATTTTTGTTAGTTTTGTTGTTTCAGTTTAGTCACATGTGTATCTTACTTCTGTACCAGGAAACCGAGGAGAATTTTAGTCTCCAAGGGGAATACAACTTCTAATCATTTTACATGCTCACCACTTCTTACTCAAAGTACTTCCTTTTTTTTCTTCTTTAAAATTAAACTCCAAATAGTAGATGCACTTAATGCACAAATATTTATTAAGTATACTAATTTAATTTCTCCAGCTCGTCTTCTTTTCCTTCCTTTTGCTTTTCAATTTTATAATACTGGTGATTTTTTATTTTTTTTTGTGTGTGTGGGGGTTTGGGGNCATAAGTTAAAACAACGGCATCATATGCATAAACCCTGTTATTATAGGATGGATCTCATAGTGATTTAGGTTCACTCTTAGCCAAGTTTAATCATCAATACACACACAATCTGGAAACAAAAAAAGAAAATGAAAAGTAAATTTTAAAGAAAACTCATGTTTAGTACAGTGCCGGCGGGAAGCCAAGGCCCCCCCGGAATTGAAGGCCCCAAAATTTTCAAATTATATATTAGTATTATATATTAGAAAATCTATATCTATATATTATTAAAAGAAGAGAAGAAAGCCTCCACGTTAAGCCAAGTGACAACCTCACAATAGGCTGCTTGGCAATTTAGGACAACGTTAGTTATGTTAGGTAATAATTAATTTTTTTTAATTTAAATTTTAAAAAATTTAAATTATGCATTATGTGTTGTTAATAATTAGTTACTTTCTTTGAGTTAATGGATTTAGAGTTTTAAAATTATTCTAAAATAAAAACGAAAATAATAAGAAGAAAAAAACTGTCAATTCTGTAACGACCCGGACGGTCGTTTTGAGTATTACAACCCCGCTTCCCCATTTTTTGCTCAAATTATACTTTATAGTTGTTATGTGACTTGCCAGGGTAATTGGTTCGGATCCGGTGAGGTTTTGGAATGAATTGGAACACTTAGTTCTAAGGTTTAAAGCTTAAATTAAAATAGTGACCGGATGTCGACTTATGTGTAAACGACCCCGAAATAGAGTTTTGATCGGGGGTTGACTTTTTGATATCGGGGTCAGAATCTGATTCTGGAAATTGAAATAGGTCCGTAATGTGAAATGTGACTTGTGTACAAAATTTGAAGTCATTCCGGATTGATTTGATATGTTTCGGCACAAGACATAGAATTTGAAAGTTCAAAGTTCATAGATTTTGATTTGAGGTGCGATTCGTCATTTTGATATTGTTTGATACGATTTGAGGCCTCTAGTAGGTCTGTGTTATATTATGAAATTTGTTGGTATGTTCGGAAGGGGTCCCAAGGGTCTCGGGGTGAGTTTCGGATGCTTAACGGATCGAATTCGGATTTGGAGGAGGAGCTGAAGCAGCTGGGCTGCTGGTATGATCGCACCTGCGCGCAAAAGGGCCGCAGGTGCGAGCTCGCGGATGCGAGGAATTAGTCGCGGAAGCAGAAAATGCATGGGCTGGTCAGGTACCGCGGGTACAAAAATTTTTGCCGTGGGTGCGAAGACCGCAGGCGCGAAGAAATCATCGCGGGTGCGAAGACCGCAGGCGTGAAGAAATCATCGCGGGTGCGAAGACCGCAGACGCGAAAAAATCATCGCGGGTGCGAAGACCGTAGGTACGAAGAAATCACTGCGGGTGCGAAAATCGCAGGCGCGATGAAATCACCGTGGGTGCGAAGACCGCAGCTGCGAAGAAATCACCGCGGATGCGAAAATCCTAGACATAATGTTAAAAACAGAGGGGGTTCCGAGTTTTGCCATTTTTGGACCTTCAAACACGGTTTTTGGAGCGATTTTGAGAGAGAATTCAAGGAAAACTTGAGGTAAGTCACTTGTGATCATTTCTACTCCATAATATTGAATTATCATCGAATAATCCCACTAGATTACATGTTTTTGAGGTGTAAATCGGGGGTTTGAACGTAGAGATTTGAAAATAAGATTTGAAAATTTGGAGGTCGAGTTGAGGTCGGATTTTGGTAAAATTAGTATGGTTAGACTCGTGGTTGAATGAGATTCCGGATTTTATAACTTTTATCGTATTTCAAGACGTGGGCCCCACAGGTGATTTTTGGGGCGTAATTCCAGATTTTTAGAAAATATTAGTATTTTGATATGGAATTAATTCCTATAATTTTTGTGGGCTGAATCAAATTAATTGTGACTAAATTCAAGCCATTTGGAAGTTGATACGCAGATAATGGAATTTCCGTAGCATTGCTTAACTTGCTCGACATTGAATTCTACTTATTCGAGGTAAGTAACTCTTCTAATCTTGGAGTTTGATGGTATGGACCCTGAATATATGTATTTTGTGAATTGTTGGGAGGTGACGCACATGCTAGGTGACGGACGTATGGGCATGCACTATAGAAATTGTGACATAATTGGTTATGTGAAATTTTGTAGTTAAATAATCTTGGCATTCTCCATGCGATTTTATGTGTTAAAGAAATTGAGCTAAAAAGCATATTAAAATTATGTTGAGGCCAAGTGCCAGTATTTGGGGACCCACGGAGGTCATATTGTTATGAATTATTTATTTTAAATTAAAAATTCATACTCAGTCATATTCATTTCATTACATATCATATCTCAGTCTTTGTTGTTATTCATTGATACATCATATCATCATTTTGGGCTATTTTCATGATATTGTGAGCCCAAGAGACTGGAGAGATTGATGACTGATTGAGGTCGAGGGCCTGATTGTAAGGATTATTATGGGATCGGGCTGCACGCCGCAGCAGGCCATGTTGGCTATATATATATTATTACTATTATATGGATCGGGGCTGCCCGCCAGCAGCAGGCCTTATTGGCTTATTATGGCACGTGAGTTGTCCGTACGGATTCTGATATGATATTATAGCACGTGAGTTGTCCGTGCAGATTATAGCGCTTGGGTTTAAGGAGCCCCTCCGGAGTCTGTACACACCCCAAGTGAGCGCAGGTACCTACTGAGTGCGAGTGTCGAGTGATGAGTGACTGGGAGGCATGAGTGATTGTGAGGTATGCCCGATGGGCTGTTTACGAGTGATTGTGATGTATGCCCGAGGGGCTATTTACGAGTGATTGTGAGGTAAGTCCGAGGGGTTATTTATGATTTTATCACTGAGTTGTATCGCATTGGCATTCTCACATGACATACAGGTATAGAGATGTATTTTCCTCATGCTGTACAACATCACATCATTCATGATTTCCCACACATTTTTTTACAGATGGGCATAGTGATGCATTTGTTTTACACGGGTTATCCGGAAGAAAAATAAAACATCTTATTTATTATTGAAAAGATTTTTGGGAGAAATTATTGTTTTCAAACTATCCATATTTTTTGGCAACTTCGGTAAACGATTTGGGTTTTCACTAATGTATTTGAAAGGAAGAACTATTATTTTTGAAATCATGATTTGGCCGAGCATTTTATCTTTGAGTTACTTCTGGTATTATTTGCTTTATGTTGTTGTGGCCTATTGGTTGTGGACCCGACCTTAGTAGAAGCTCGTCACTACTTTCAACCTACGGCTAGGTTTGTTACTTACTCAGTACATGGGGTCGGTTGTACTGATACTATATTTCTGCACATTTCATGCAGATGTTGGCTGTTGTTGTTGCTGTGCTCGATGGTTGCGGGATTTGAAGATGTACCTGCATTCCTGTTATAGCTGCCTCTTGTTCAGGGTAGCCTTATATTTATAAAAGCTTTGTTTAAGTATTATTCAAACAGACTATGTATTTATTTCATTTCCGCTTTGTATACTCTATTCTTAGGAGCTCATGATTTGTACTACCAGTTCTTGGGGATTGTACAAGATTAAGACCTTTATTCACTTAAATTGCTTTAATAATTATTATTGAAATTTGTCAGTTGGTAATTGGCTTACCTAACGGGTTGGGTTAAGTGCCATCACGACTAGTTAGATTTTGGGTCGTGACAAGGTGGTATTAGAGCTCTAGGTTCATAGGTTCTACAAGTCACGAGCAAGTGTCTAGTAGAGTCTTGCAGATCGGTATGATGACGTCCATACTTATCTTCGAGAGGCTACGAGGCATTTAGGATATATACTTCCCATATTTCTTTCTTTATCATGATTTAGCTTGAGACATAAACTCTTTGAATTCCTTCCACGTATTCGTATGCGCGCATGAGCGCTCGGTATCAGTTGTGCATCGCCGGCTTATGATTTTTATGAACAAGGTTCAAGATGTGTATTCTGTGTTTTGGTGATGGGCCAGTTTGGAGAACTTGAGGCCAGGTTTAGACCGCAACTTAAGCTCGGTAACTTCAGTTATAACTTGTACATTTGGACTCATTTGTCTGGTAATGTCCCTACAAGTGGAATTTGTGGATCGATGAGCGGTGTAATAGCCTTGTGATGAGTACGATGTAACTGCGGGATGTGTTAAGAGGCAGCGAATGTGACGAGAAGTATTTCCGTAAATGTAAAGGAAAGGCCATTGGGTGCTTGATTTTCGTTTTGATGTGACGTACAGTCTCGAGTATGAATATTTTGGAGGATCTTTTACATTGTTAAATTTTGGGACAAATTAAATTCTCATGTCTGGTTAATGAGTTTGGACTCAAATAGACTAAGTGATTGAATAGTAATTATGACTGCGAAAAGATATAACAAGATGCCAATTTGAGGCTAAGGAGGTGGGTTATCTTCTGAGAGTAATCTACGTAGGTATGTTCCTCATATGTGAGTGGAGAGTTTCTTTTCTGCCAACATGGCGTATGTGTGAAGATTTGAATTTGAATCTGGCTGAGAAAGTTTACTTGAGTGTCAAGAGAATGATTGCAAGCTTAGCGGCTGATTTGGGGGATTTTTATGGTTGGCGTTGCATGAGTTTGAAAAGAAGTTTCGTTGAACTGATTATGGCATTATGACAGTAATAGAGTATTGGTATTGTTAGTTATGGAATGTTTTAATCTATAGCTTTAATCCTAGTGGGGGAGCCTTCTATTGATAATTCAATTTCATAGTTATATGTAAAGGTTTAGTTTTGGGCTGAGGCATACTGGTGGGTTAGTTATGACTTGCAGAAGCTGAGATCGAGGATGACTCGAATAAGAAAAT